GCGTGACCGCCGCGCCGCGCCACGCCACGCCACGCCACACCCCGCCCCACACCCCCGGCACCCCTCGACAAGGGCGCTCTCAAGCAGTAAATTATTCGCCACAGCAAGTTTTAAGAAAAGAAAGATAGCAAGAAGAAAGAATGAATGAACGAATACTCATATGTTGCTACGTTTGAGGTCTTAACTTATGTATAGAGCATGTTGTTTTCATAATAAAATTCTAAATCTGTTCAGAATTTTGCAAGTGGACATTGTATTTAGAGTTTTATCTCTGTGCACCCACAGTCCAAAAGACCCTCTAGACACTAGGCCTTTCTTTTCTAGTCAGTTGTACTGCTTTTTGAGTATCCAAGCGGATGAGATGACTCAGGGTACCTACTGTTTGTATTGCAGCATGTTCGACCAGGCAATCCTAGGATTCGAGTCCCGACTGTGGCGAATTTTCGACACTACCTCTGTAACTACACTAATTCAGCCACAATCTGGAGAAGGATTCTAACGGTCGTCTTCTGGATTGGGCGTTTTACAAGGTTTCTCCGATCAATTCAATACAAATGGATCATAATCCGTGCGCTTGCTCCAACTCTCCCCTCGCACTCAAACATACATTTACATGTACTAAATACAAGTCGCGAAACCGGTCGGTGGGTTAGTGACAGTCCCGACAGGGGCGGTGTCGTATTGGTGGAGATACCTAGAGATTTTTAGCGGTAGTGATAAAAGTGATAGAAGTGCTCAAATATTGAAATGGAACTGTGAAAGCAATTAAGAAAACAAAATACTTTCGTCCGCATTAACTACTGCTAATCTTAACATAACGTAGTAACCAATTAATTGAATTGTATTGTTGAACTGAAATAAAAATAATGCCAGATGGGCTGTCTAAAAAATAGTATACGACACACATGGTACAAGTTTCACTCGTAGGATTGAGCCACTCTGCCGGTCGGACGTAATGTCGCAACCTTTTGTACTCGTAAAATAACAGATCACCTTTACCGCTCATATAAAATTATTATACAAACATAACTATTATAAAAATAATAACCACTTTGTTTCGAGAAGAAAATTCAAAACTGATATCAGCAACATTTATCAGAGTTCAAGATCAATTGTTTCAAATCCGAAGAGGGGAAACCGTGAACTATACCACGGCCATTATGGGCCAATGTAGGAAAAAATATTCAACAATAGTGAAAATAGTTTGGTACCTGTTTGATAGTAAGTAGATGAACGCATATCTAGAATTGGGAGTCTGTATTGCGATTATTCCAAAAAAATAATAAATTATGTTTGGGTCCAAAAATACTCCAGGTATGGAGCAAACAAACAAGTCTGACGGCAAAGGCTTGGTGGATTCGAGTAAGAGTGCGCTATGTATGTAGATGTTGCGATGTTTGCTACCTATACACTTGACTAGAACACACAACATAATGCCGCCTCCATCCCTTATGGTCAGATATCTATCATCACATCACACGCCATGCCTAATCACTCACCACTGGTTCATTTCCTCAACCATTTAAGTAAACATTTTTGCTATTAGAATCTTTCAGTATTTTTTATTCATTTTTTTTATTTTCTATTATATTACGTCTATTAAAAAATAAGAACTTGTTTACGGGAGTTTCTCCAAAACTATTTACTTCACCAAAATCTTTTACGCAAACAAACTCTAAAGATATTAGTGAGAAAATGTATAATTTAGATTTGAAGAGCATTTTCACCCCAAATGACACCATTCATTGTTATCAAAAAGTAGAGTGTGAGTGTATTCCGCCAACATATGTCCTGTCTCTGATTCCCCGTCCGCCTTCTTTCCTTGCCCAGCGACGAAGAAAAATGCTGATGTGTTTCGCATTACATGACGTCGTCAGACTATCGATTGCGGCCGTGGTTTCCTTCGTGACGGTCTTTAGTTCCCGCGCTGCCTGCTTGTTCCCCTATCCCGCAGGACCCTTCTCCCCGGCCATGTCTTTCCGACTCCCCCTCCCGTTGATAAATGACGGCCAAGATTAATAGTGAGCAGATAACGATTCGGCGAGTGCATCGCCTTGGCCCCTTCGCCGCGCGCGCGCTGAGCGCCGCCCGGGCGGAAGAGCAGCGGGGCAAAAGGCGAGCGGCCCTCGCCTCGCGTCG